AATTGTAAATTTTAAATTTGAATTGTGATTAGACGGACAAAAACCGAATAATTAATTAAATACATAATTTCACAATATGACGCAACTATATCATCCTATAAAACCTTCCTTCTGTAAGAATAGCGGAAATTGTCAATTACAAGCTATGAACAGTCAGTCTTTAAAATAAATCTTGCGGAAAACTCAAAAAAAAATTTCACATTTCACATAAACCATTATTGCCCGAATACCTGATCACACGATGCGAAAAGTTGAACATCAGAGGAAAAAAATATTCCCAAAGCCAACAAATTCACCGGGTCCAGAGCCCAGGACAGATTTCGGGTTTATGACCTGCGATCTTCACAGCTTTGACCTTGAAGCGCGTATTTTTCGAAATGCAGACACCACATGGATGGACGTAGTCGCGGCCTAATTTAATGTACTATTTCGAAAAGCTCAGGATATCCGGTTTTCAGGCCTATATTTGAACTCGTGACATCTCGGTTACGAAGCAGGAGTGCCAACCACGACGTTCGGCCATATAAACACTAGTAACGAGGAACGTTATACGAGAGGTCACGTTGGTATTTTATCATTGTGTAATCTTACTTCTACATGTGATTTTAAGTTCTCACGACGACGATTATAAATATGGCTGTCTTCTGGGCTGTTGCAAGTGTAATCTGGTATAATTTCACATTTTCACACGTACTTCCTACCTCCGTCATCAGGGGCGATGAGTCAGCCCTGATGATGGTGATAGCAAGTACCTCCGAAACGTCTGTAAACTTTCACCACCATTTCTAGTACTTTCTATTCACCGATTAGTACAACTCTGTTAGTTCAAAACAATTTCCTTGCAACTTTTGTTCTGAATTCTTACTATTTTTGGTCGTCCAGACATAACCTAACCACAGCCATATAAAATGAATGCTATTTATTACTTTTGAAAGTTAGATGATAATAGTCTTCATATAGTAAATCTAACAAATTCTGCAGTTATAGTAAAGTTGCTTCGTTCCGGCCTCGTCTCATTTTGTATTGCATTGGTGTATATTTCTTATCGTGTGTTGAGGCCTCGGCAAAAATTAAACCTTGCACATACAAGTTTTAGTGTAAACATTAAAAATTACATTGTGAAAATTCCGTAGTGGAAATAATAGAATAAAAGTTTTCCAAAATCACAAAATTAAAACTCTATGTATAAAAATAAAGAACAGTGATATTACTTACACTACTGCAAAGTCGATCTGTTGCACTTCGATGTCTCGAGGTGAATGGGGTTTGCCAGCCACTTCCCACGGCATTGGTCTTTATTATCTCTGATGCCACACGACTAGAATGTCAAAGGGATAATCGTGTCGCAAATATGACGTCACATATCACGTTTGCAGCTCCGCCTATCGTAATTAATGTGTAACTATCTCAATTTCTGATTCGAACTGAAGCGATGGGCTTAGCGGAGACTGAGATATACACACAAGATCCACTACACTATTTTTACTTGGGGGCCTGACCCTAGGTAATAGAAATATTGTGTAGTTCAAAAATTGTTAAATATATCTTCCCACAGACTGAACCCATCTTACACAGCTTTCAAAACACACAAAAATGTAATTGTTACTTAATTCGTACGCGGTGTTGCAACACGTGATACACGTTCTTAGAATTTTCTTATCGTACTTTGACGATCCTAACCTCCTCAAACCTTCGTTGCAGGTACAGTCACGTTAAAATCGCAGGAATTTATAGAAACCCCAGTACCTGAATTTACGTCAAAATGCAAAATTTTTTATATGTGCCCACCTTCGCGAAATTTCAAAATATTTCTTTGAAAAGAATAATGAAGGTGAAATCTCGGTTATTGTTCTGTCAGTTTATTGATTTATAAATTAACAATTTAGAAAATATACGTACAGCGTGACAAAATCCTGGCGCGTTTTCAGAGTGTTTGCCTCCAGATTCAGTTTGTGATGCGTGTCAGAGGAGAAGTTTTTAATATTTACTTTAATCAGAATCAATCCAATGTTTCTACCGATATCTCTAAAACCTTAAAGTTGAGAAAAAATGAATACGGAGCACATTTCATTATACAGTCTTTATTTGAAATATTTTTGGCTCCGATAAATATGTATCGACTTTCTCTCTGGATGCATTTAAGTATTTACGTACAGTGTCGGATATTTTTTTTGTCAGATTTCGACCAAAATTTGAATTAATCGACAAATTTTAGTGAAAATACTCTGTCCCAGATTTTATGAAAACCCATCCAGCTGTTCTGAATTTGGTTTGTAATTAATAGCTTTTGAACTGCCAAAATGGTGAGGAGACAAATCTAGGCATGTTTAGGCCTTCCGCGCAGAAAACGTGCATCATTCTGCAACACGATGAAATTAACACGTTTGGGTCTCTTTTTAGTTATGACTAATTGGTACGAGATGATTAAATCTTTTTGTGGGTTCTACTGTTTAAAATTATAACAGCGAATTGTCTCGAGGGCATGTACTTGTTCAAATCATTTTAGCTTTAAAATATCCTTAATCGATGATAATCTGACCCGTGTTTATGCGAGAATTTTTCTTCAAGATCAAAATTCCGAAATATTGACATACAGGCACCAGCCACGCACTCTGTACGCCGCGTGCTGAACTGATTCCACAGCATACCAATGAAGTATCTTACAGAAAACACGTTGACGTTAAATGTTGCCAACCCTGATTACCTCGGACCACTGGATCTTGAGAATCCGTTGGTATTATCTGTGCTGGGAATTGTGTTGAGACATAAGGCGAAATTGACAACACGGCAATGTGCCCGAAGAGGAAAGGAAGAAGTTTATTTTGTTAAAACTTCATCATACGTCTTTATATATAATTACTTTTCAAGATTGTAATTTTTAAGAAGTATCTCCATGGGGTTTTTGTCAATACCACCGTAAGTAAAGTTATATTTATTATAGGCAGATGTTTGTGTGTCTGCAGTTAAATGAAAGTTGCTACAGCCAACATCGTACCTGTGCACAACGCAACGCATGTTGCTAGAGAATCCTTAACGTTGGTTGACATTCTTCAATGTGTTCTAAAATAATATTGCTGTCGACAAATATTGTGGGTGTATAGTTTCCAGTTGCGAGTATAGACTGGGCTGCAAAAGTGAACTCTAGTCAGGCTGTGTTTGTATGACATTATATTTTTATAGGCCACGGCGATTGTACTGGTATATTCATATGGGTTTGTGGTACAATCATGACCTTTCAGAATGTTTAGATTATGTTTTTTGTTTGTGTGATATTAGATCATGAAGCATTGCTCATGGAAATTCAAGCCATATTGCCCACTTATATTACCTGCATGTAGTGTAATTTTTTTTTACTTTTGTAATACATCAGAATGTTTGATAACACATATTTATATTATGGGTTTACAGTTGAGATAAAAAAAATTGAATCCAAAATATTAACCAAACTTGGTACAAAATTGTGTCATTATGTAAAATATGAATTGTTCTTTTTTTAATCATGGCCACGTGTTGTCGTTATGACATCTACCATTCACTATAATCTGATTCTAGCTTATCCCACATTTTACTTCCCTACTAATGTGTGGTTAGAATGATTAGTGCTGGTTGTAATTACCCAGTACAAATCTGGAAACGGTAGATAGATAAGAATGGGTTGTGTTGGGTCTCGTATTTAATTCTGGTGTACTTGTATCTTAATTGGTCTTTTCATAGGTCCTGTAAATCTCAATACATTAATTGTATTGATTAAAAAATTATTGAACCCACAAACTCCTTCAAAATGAAAGAAACATAGCAGTGTTATGATTCCTTTCAGTGGTGCCATCCTGTGAGGTGGCAAGCCTGCCATTGTTGGGCAGGCAGCTAGAGGAAGGATGAGTGGATCACGGTTGGTCCGCGGGACCAGAAGTCGACTGTTCCTGTATTTAGCTGTTGTAGTTGTGGTGGGAATGGCAGTGTATGTGTTCCACGGTGCTCAGTTGCAGCTTGACGACGCGCGCAAGGCAGCGGATAAGTGCCAACAGCAGCAAGAATCCTTGTCTGCCCAACTCCAGGGTATGGACACTGTTTCTTCCATTTTATATAATAACTTTCAAGTATGTGTCATTTATCCACACACATTAACCTAACCTAACCTATTTTTAAAGCGATGTGACCCGATAACCCACAAGTACCCAATTTTCTATATATTTTCTTGTGGTCATAGTGATATTCGAGTACAAGCTGCGTCTCGAAAAGTCATTGCAGCAGGAGAAAGCGGACCATAGAAAGACGCACGAGGAGTTGGAAAAGCGAACCAACGGCGAGAAGGAGGCAAACAACAAGCACAGCGCACTGCAGCAACAGTACAAGATTCTTCAGGTGAGTTGTTGTCAAGTTAAAGGAGGGAGAAGCTTGTGAATAAGTAGCGTATCAGTAGATTTTCTTCCGTGTGAAGCCGTTTCATTGGTGCGAGATCTTTCGTCGGCAGAGTCAGCATGATGACCTCAGCGAAGACTGCCACAAGATGCACCTGACGCAAGCAGAGGAACGGAGCAAGTTGGAGTCCCAAGTGCTCTCCCTACAGGAGGATTTGACGCACGCGCAAGCAGGTCATAAGAAGTCCCTTAATTCTCTGAAGGTACGTCTCCATAGTTTCTGTATTATTTACCGTACCACGAATTTGGTGTGGTTCTCCTCGGACACTCGGCAAACAAGTACCAAGATGTTCCATCACCATGTTCACAAAAGCCCTCTATCTAATTTGTCCTGAAAATTTGAATTGGTCGACAAATACTTACCCTATTTCTGCAGGATCCATCTTTTATGTTGTTATGCCGAGCATTTGGCACCCCTGATTCATATTTAGGAGATCCTGCAAATCTTGGTTCATAAACTGAATGTCCTGATAGGTTTCTGTGGTTTTCCTCAGTCGTTACAGGCAGTAAATTATTTCTCCCATTATTTTCAGCGCACAAAAAGGGTAAAACTTTTTGGTTACCTTTTATTTTTATTGGGAATAAATAAAATATATTGCTCTGTACGGAGATTTCACTGTGCCGGGTTCTTTCTCGTGGCAGACGGAGTACACTAAATTGGAAGTGGAAAATGCGCATCTTGAGAAACAGAACGCTGAGCTACGTGACCAGACATCAAAGACGTCAAAGAAGCTTAACTTCCTGGAGAAGCAAAACTTCCAGCTGGAGAGAGATTTGGCAAAAGCCACGGTATAGTATGAAGCTTCCATTTGTTGACTTGCCAACGTTTCATTTCCGTGAATTTTTTTTTTTGTAAAATATTTATGATTTCATTGAGATTTGGGCTTGTAAATGTGTTAATTGCCCAGACATTTTTAAATGCATCAGTAAAACACTATTGAACATTTAGAACTGAATGGATTCTGAAGCACTGCTCAAAGGGTTAAAGAGAATTCGTGGGGAATTACGCTGCCCGTAAAAGAATAATATAAAAAGACTGCGGGTTTTTTTTACGTTAAATTTTGCCAGGAAAATTGCATGTTAGAAATTTTTTATCCGGCTAAAATAGAAGAGAAATTGAAAAGTCAGCTGACTTTTCCTGATGCCATAAAGATGGGCTTGTTTCATTCTAAATACATCATAATATCAATAAAAGTTTCTTGTTTAGTTATCTCAAAAATTTAATGTATGTTTGAATGTTTTATATGACAATGCAAGATAAGGTTCGCTGATAAATGTATAACTACGTTAATGCCTTATGTAATCTTAATGAGGTGTTTATGTTAGCTTAGAAAACTACTTTATCTTGTAGCGTAATATGAGGGTAGACCAATGAAAACTGTTTAAAAGACAGGGAGAGACAGGAACCTACCGTGTGCAGCTGCAGGTACAGTAAATCATCAGCAATGGTTAGAGGCATGTACTGTGCACTGTAGATCTGTCGAAATGGGCTGCATGACATTAGCAGAGCAGTACAAAGATGGCTGCTTCTTTGGAAACATGTACGAAGAAGGAATAGCATGCTCTCGTCTGTTTCGTTGTTAGCAAATGTGCGAAATCCACCGAAATACTGCCACATGGAGTTGCAATATGGTAACGCACTATCAGTCTCCAAAATTGCCTGCGGCATTATGATTTTGTGGGCCTGGCCTCATCAAGGAGAATCTAGACAAGCCATTATTAAACTTCCAACTCCATTTGTAAGCATTCATCGTGGAAAACTGTTATGTTATCGTGGATGAAGTGGCTGCTTTGTTGGACATCATCCGTGGTTTGTTGCAGTTCCACGAAGTATCTGCACGGTGGCCGCGTGATCTGAGGCGTGGGCCTTGTGCCGCTTGGTCGCCGGGACCGTGGGTTCGAATCCCACTCAAGCCATGGATGTTTGTCCGCGTCTTTCTGTGTTATGTTTTCCTGCGTACAGGTAGAGGCCTTGCGACGGGCCGATCGCCTGTCCAAGGAGTCCTACCAACTGTCTTAATAGATCAAAGCCAACGAAAGTTGGGACCCGCAGATGCTCCAGGCATTGAAGAACGGGTCTCCTAATATTCGACAATTTCCCAAGAAGAGCTTCGTCGAGTATTTCGAAACATGTTAACGAGATGTGAAACTTGCTTGCGAGCACAAGGATGTCACTTTGAACATCTTTTGTGATTTAAGGTAAAAACAATTAATGTAATAACATGTATTAGTGACGAGAAATATTCGTGGCTCGCTGTTACTAGCGGCACCGAAACTGACTCGCCCGTGTCTCACGCGTACAAGTCCCGCCTACGTCAACAGCACCGGCCGATAACGCAATGTAGGCACGACCGTAACCTCATAAATTGGAGACCCGGTAACATAAACCCTTTAAATCCAAAGCTTACCTAAAGAATGCTTAGGAATTGAGACCGTACCACAAAAAAAACACAACACTTCACCATTACAAAGATCAACTGGTTAATGTTTGAGGAAATAAGCATTTTTTATTACACCGATAATCATACTAAGCCCATGCATTAAAATGCAGTGTTACTGATTTTTAAAGCAGGTGATACGTAAAGTTACCATTTGGCTTTAAAGGGTTAATGAAATTTATCACTTTTTGGTATTTGCTACTGCTTCTCGACTATCAGTTTGATTTAAAATAAGATTCTTTACTTACGTAAGCTGTGAAGTATTGGGGCACGTCTTGTTCAAGGGTGCTTGGCATTTGGCCAAATGATGGTAATAAAAATTGTTTCTGAGATATGATCAGAGGCTTGTATTCATAATTTACACAAGCATTTAAAGCTAGTTAACGCTTTCCCATATCTTTGAGTCTTGCCTGTCACATTTCTGTGGTGCATCCTAGTGCCTCGTCTTTGTATTCACATAGCTGCGTGTTCAAATCTTGTGACCTGTAACAGTGTTGGAGAATGACCGTCACACAAAAGATGATGTCCTCCGTATAATTTCTGATTTTATAGCTTTTCATATACCTTCGGACATCAGTGACATAATTTTTATGATTTTCGTATGTAAGAGTGGAATTTGAGACAGTAATGTCTTGGTATGAATTATGAGAATTTTATTGAAAATATGGTTTAGTTTAGATTTTAGTATAATCTTTATTAAAAATATAGCATTTGCTAATTGTTTTAATATGAACATTTGCAGAAGGAATTGAAGACGTACCAAAGACATCCTCCACAAACTGTTGAGAAGGCTTCAGAAGGGAAGCAGGATGCAGACGGTAGTCTTAAGTCGCCTGTGAGGCACTCCAATGCAGATCCATCACCTTTACCTGCCTCGTCGGTTTCTTCACTAGCTGCCGCCGCCGCTGCCGCTGCCCCAGCTCCAGAAAACCAAGTGAATGTAGAAGAACCTGTGCTGAACCAGGACAACGCCGATAACAAGGTACGCAGCTCACCAAGTAGCTCGAATGCTCCTCCTGTAGCGGACAAGTTGCCCGTCATGAAGAGTAGTTCCAAGGCCATGGTTAGTCCTGAGCAGCAGTTAGGTAAGGCTAAGTTTGCGGCACCAATCATTGGCAGCTCAAGTTCACTCCCAGCACCAGCCATGTTGATGCAGGAAGCGGCAATCGCGTTACCGCCACCCCACGCCAGTAACGACGTGAATATCGAGCAGTTGCAGAGCCGAATTGACCAAATGCTCGACAACGACAAGGCTTCTAAGGTCCCCAGAGAAGTGTAGCTCATGTCCGAGTAGTAGGAAATGAAGGGCTGAACTTCAAGAAAATAGAAAAGGCCTCCGCACATAAATATCGAGTTTATTTTTTTACGTGCATGTTGCAAGTTTCATGATCTTGTTTGTGTTAGTTGCATGGTTTTGTTTGTACCTTCCAGCAGTTAAATGCTTTTGCTTAGAAAACTGCAGTCTGTCTCTGCCAGAATTTTGCTGTTCATATTGAATCAGTAAAGCCATGTTGATCTAGAACAGTGGTCCCCAACCTTTTTGTGCCTACCGGCACATTCGAGAGTTTATGAGATCGTGGAGGGCACCAACCAATTAACAAAGCCAAATTTTCTTTTCTCTGGACAAATAAGATATGGACACCAAATAATACACAAAACAACACGACGTTTAATGATACAAGAAACCACGCAATCAAAAGTACGTAGTTTTATAAGTACAATTATTATTACTCGAGTGGGAAGTTCGTGTGATGTTTGGCGCTGCATTTCATCGGCCAGTTTTTCAAATTTGGGAGTGTAGGATGATGTTGCTGCTTGCAAACTATCGTCAAGATGGGCGTCAGTAAGTAGAGATCTGCGCTTTGATTTAATGATGTTCATGGTTGAACGGCCTTCATTATTCAGTATAACCTCTGTCCGTCACAACGTGGGTATCCAAAAAAACCTTGGCGGGCGCCATGGCGCCCGCAGGCACCACATTGGGGACCACTGCTCTAGAGGTTGCTCACACAGAAATATTTCTCTCTCTTCTCGTGAGATGCTTTGCAAATAATAATTATAGCAAAGTATTTTTAATATTTTTACATTTTTATGCGTGTATGCACACGTGCTTTTTTATAAGACGTTTTATAAGTAGAAATGTCAGTACAAAACATTTCACTTTGTTTGAATTTTAATGTTGAACGTACAGCGACATTTGCTTATTTTCTAATGTGATGGTCATTGATGTTATGGGAATATATGCTGGAGAAAAGAAACAGGTTGTTTAGGAAGTCACTCTGAGGTTTTAGGAGGCTCTGTTTTCTTGCCCATTTTACGTATCGAAAACAAGACATTGAAGTGAATGCAAGTCGCAAAGTTGTTTTTATTAAATTTCCATGTGTGATTCTTTGTGAGATGGCGTTTGTGTAGCCTGGTGAGTTATGTTGAATTCTTAGTTTTCCTGCTCGCCAATTTTCACACGCTCTTCACTCGAGCAACTTGTTTCGAACCGGTGTGGCTGTCTTCTGTGTTATTGCACTAATGATCTTCTCCCTTATTGAATTGCTTTCGTGTGGCTACTATACCACCCAGATTTCTTCAAACTTCTTGTGACCTTCCTAAGTTATTTTGTCTGTAGGCGGATATCCGGTTTGTTTGTTTTAAAACTGTTGCGCGGTAACGGCAAGTTTAAATTTGTCAAGCCGTAGCACACGCAGTGCTTGCTTTCACTTGCAGCCGTCATCGTACTCGGACCACCGATCACATACACAAGTCTGGCGTACCGCAGTGCAAACACATGTACAGGAACGCATTGCTCTGCACAAACTTTGTGGTTAACTTTCAGTTTGGTGTTTTTAAAAATATGTGCAGTGGTTAAGAAACTATATAATATATAACCCACAGTGACGTTCTGTACACTATATTTTAGAATGAGATTTTTAATCGCTTATAAAGAGTTTATCGGAAGCAGAAAAAATTAATTATGTTCTGTGTGTAGAAAGTAAAAGTGAATCTTCATGTCTGTGCCTTGTGTGCATGTGCGCACGCATATATGCTGTTTTTGAATTGGGGTTATTCTAGCATTTCTGAGTTATGGGAGCAAAGTTATGAGCGTATTCACGCGCACTTTGTATCCAAGTGGAATTCCTTCTGAGGTTTTTTAAAGTGACCTCCGCTCCCCCCCAAACGACCTACATGGTGTGTAGCGGGACAGCAAAAAAAATACACGTGTTATCAGAAATGGAGACAAATTACATAAAATGATCATCAGTACTTTGTTAACATCACCACTTTCACTAATCATGTTAACTTCAAGAAGTGGTTTCCTGCCCGCAACTTTCTCCAGTTTATCTGTTCTTGGAGCCACGGTCAAACATGACACAGGCAACTGGAATGGAATGTGACCAGGTGTGAAGAATTCACTGTTCAGAAGTTCCTCGACCTTGGGCCTGCACTTGGGATCTGGCTGGAGTGTTGCCTGAATCAACTTAATAGCAGATGATGATATCTCCGATGAGGGTGGTTATCTCATATTCACACCTCTTTATCCGAGAGAATGTCTCCTTCAGTGAATTAGTTTCACATGGTGGCTTCCCAATCAACAGAGTGTACAAAATACAGGCAGTTGATCATATATCAATTTCAAAGCTATGGCGCTGCGTTTTCAGGATTTCTGGAGCGATGTAGTTGGCTGTACCACATGGTGTCCATTTTGTTTGTCCATTATATTCAATCTTGGCAGCAATACCAAAATTTCCTATCTTCACATCCAAGTCATCATTGAGAAATAAATTGAAAATTTTGAGATCACGATGGATTATCTTGTTTTGTGAAGATAAATGACACCGAGTAGTGTCTGTCGCACATAATACCGGACTTCAGCCTCAGTTAATGCTTTTCTGCGCTTGTATAACTCCATCATTGACCCTTTCTTACAAAGTTCCAGTACAATATAAACGTTTTTATTATCCTCAAAATATCCGTGGAATCCCACCACATGTCTATGGATTAAACTTCAATGAATAGCGATTTCTTGAGTTAATTTATCTCTCAGAAAGTTCTTGGTCATCTGTTTTTTGGAGACAATTTTACCAGCATACACATTGCCAGTAGTCCCGCGCCGTAGCCGCGCGGTCTGAGGCATCATGCTTTGGACCGGCGATACGGAATGCGCGCTGGTTTGAGTCTCGGGGGAGATGAAATTTTCTCATGAGCTTTCGACCGGTGTATGGGACCGGTGCCAACCCAGCATCGTGAGGAAATTGGGGAGCTACAATGAGTAGCGTAATCCGGTCAGGAAAGCTAGCAATGGCTGGGGGTTCGTCGTGCTGACCACACGTCACTCTATATCTGGTTGGATGATCGTTCACCTCTGCTTAGGCATGTGAACGTGAGGCCAGCAGTCAAGCTAGTCGGCTTTGGCTGTCTGGAGCTGTTACGCCACGGATTTAATTTTTCAGATTGCCGGTCTTTGTATCTGTTATCTCATAACACTTTACAAAACCACCCTTTCCAAGGAATCTGCCTTTTCTGTATGTTATTTAGGTAGAGAGGTGCTTCCGCATAGTACGATTTGAGGTTCTTGTGGCAGTATGTACTATGATGGCTGTCTTCTGGGTTGTAGCACCATTTAGTCTAGTGGAAGTCTGCCAACATTTCAGAGGTCCTTGCTGCCTCCCTCATCAGGGCAGTGACCTCTCTTTGACATGTCTCTCTTGCATGCCCTTTCCTCTCCTGTTGGCACTTGCCCTGATAATGGAGGCAGCTAGGACCTCTGAAATGTTGGTAGACTTCTACTAGACTACATGGCGCTACGACCTAATTGTTATTCTGCTTGTTTAAGCCTTTTTCTTTAACACAAAATTGACTAAAAGTCAACACTTAAATTCAGAAGTAGATACTTGTGTCATCTCTTTCTGGTATTTACTGGTTTTTAGAATCACCCTTTATTTTGAAGTTTTTTGAAAAAAAATTTCTTGTACTCTGTATTCTTTGCGTACTACCAGAAAAGAATGTCACAGGTAAGTTCTGAATGGGAAGTTATCCATATTACTTTACAAATAATGGCTTTATGTTCATTAATGTTTGTTATTTGAAGTGTCATATTTAAACTACTTTTGAGATGATGATGTTAGTCTTCTGGGTTATAAAATTATGTAGATGTGGATGCAGCGTTTCAAAGAAACATACGGTGTGTGTCAGGGTTGAAGATCGAGACAGTATGTTTCTCAGAACGTTGGCATCTACCTATAATTCTACACATCATCACAACCCAGAAGATCATCTTCACAGATGCGACAACTTCAGATCTTACATTTTAGAAGCTGAGATGTTGTTGTTGTTTATAAAACCTAACAGATGGTTTCAGTGTGCACTTAAGTTAACAAAAGCTGAAGTAGGTGGATGGATGACTCACAAAAACAGTAGAACAGTGCACTTCAAATGGAATGTAAAAGCTGTCCTTATACCTTAAAACCTCTCCAGTTCCCCTTGTGACATGGTACATGGGTTTAGTGACAATGGTAACATGGCAGAAGTAGACAACTCAGACATTCAGGGTTTTGTCGTAAGTCATACTCCCCACACTAAGGTTCACAATAATCAGGTACCAGCAGATTGTAGGTTGCTACACAATCAGTAGAGCATAAGGACGTAACATTTCGCACTTGTAGGTAGATCCCTATGCTGGTAAATGGTCTGTTCTGTATCAGAAAGCCGATGGTCATTGCCCGCAGTGAAATCTTCTTTGGTCATCTGCCACGTCAGTACAAACTGAAATTTTGAATAAGTAGGATCTGAGCTTTTCACCGTGGCGAATCTGAAGATGGCTGTCTTCTGGGTTGTTGCGCCATATAGTCAGGTAGAAGTTTACTGACGTTTCAGAGGTCCTTGCTGCCTGCATCATTGGTAAATTTCTACCAGACTTACAGCGCAACAACCAAGAAGACAGCCATCTTGAAATTTTGAAGATTCGAAGCCTCTCAGTTTGTTACATTCCGT